AGGTAAGTTAGTATTTTTAATCATTTGAAGAGATTATTTTTATGAATTGTTTTAAATATAAGTAAGTAAATAAATTAATATGCTATTATTAGAAATTGTTATTAGCAATGATTTAGTTTAAGTAATTAGGATGTAATCTAATTTTATTAATTTAATGTATGTGCTTATTTATTTTAAGTAGTGTTTTTTAATTTAATTATTTAATTTATGATCGTGATTTGTGAGTTATATTTGTTGTATTTTGGAATACGTTTGAGTAGAATAAGTTGAGTTTTTCATGCATTTTCGTGAAATTTTTTTAATTTATGAGAAAAAAGCAGTGTACATGGATATAGTGAAGAGTGTGCGCAATGCCATTTTTGTACAATTCTGGGATGTTTTTTAAGTAAAATAAGTCGATGTGTACATGGTTTAGTGATATTTTAATTAAATGATAGTTATTTTGTGAATTTATGTTTGTAGGAATTTAGTATAACGTTTTAGTTGAAATAAAACGTGTATGGAAATAATTTAAATATTTGACACTAAGTATTTGTAACCATTTGTAATGTTTGTGTATGAATTCGTTGGTGACTTTTATAATATAAATAGATAATTTAGAGGTAAAAATTTTTGGAATTCTATTTATTTTATACTGGAATGTTCATCCTTGGAAAGGGTTTATAACTTTTTCGCGATCAGGTAATTTATATATGTGCTTTTTCCGAGTTTAAAGATCACAGAATTTTTTTGCATTTTCATGCAATTTTTGTAATTTTGAGAAAATAGCAGTGTAGATGCATAAAGTTAAGAGTGTGTGCAATGCCATTTTGTGCAAACCTGGGATTTTTTTTTTAAGTAAAAAAAGTCGACGTGTAAATGGTTTATGTGTATTGCTATTCTGAAAAACGCGCAAGGAGTTTGCGAGTGTGCACTTTTTACAAATTTGCAGTTAATATTTGTCATGATTAAGTAGTTTTGTTACATAAAATTTCTAGCATGGTAATTCGGCTAGTAGATTGTTGGAAAAAAGTGTTCAGTAATAAAAAAAGAAACATGTCTTTACTTCGTGAAGACAAATTGGCGGTGCAAAAAAAAAAATAGAGGGTTGCTGTAGCAGAGTTGGTCGCCAAATTTCACAAAAAAATCGCCAAGTTCCATAACCAAAGATCAACCGCTTCTTTTTTTTTTTTTGTAAATTTTTGAATCCTTTAGATCATAATTGTCTTATTTCATAAATTATGGTTTCAATTTTTAATTGTATTATTTCTGCATGCCATCTTACCAGATTTAAATTGATGATCTATAATCCGGAAAAACCCCTAATCTGGAATAGTCGAAGTCCCGACGAGTCTGGATTACAGACTTTGTACTGTATTAATTTTAATACTTATAGTAATCTACTACTGCTCATTTTATATAAGTGTATACCACAAGATTTAATATTAGAGTTTAGAGAAGAAAATTTTAGCAGAGATTCAAGAGTGTCAGATTTAATGTTATTTCTAAAGAAAGAAGCACTTGGAAAGTCCTTAACTCTTGGTCTGAACTAACATCTCTGAGAAACAATGAAAGAAATAGTGACAATTATCATAAAAATTTCATTCCAATTAAAAGGAAATGGCTTTAGCAGTAACATTTAATATATCAGCTGAAAAATATATGTGTTTGTTCCAAATCACCCCACCCCTCCAAAGACTGAGACTGAAACTTAAGTTTTACAGAATTGGTTATGCAACCAATTCAAGCGCAAACATCACTTAAAGGTCACAAAATACCATTTTGCATGCAAAATGTTTTTTTGTGTAAAACATTTTGCAACAAATTTACATTACAAATTTTGTGTAATGTTTTTAAATGTAACATTTGCAAATCTCAGTCGCTTTTAGAGAGCCTGAGCGAATCGTGAAACCTGGAAGAAAACAAAACCAACCAAATTGTGCAGATTTTGTGCAGAGTAAAAAAAACAAACATTAGCTCACTATTCCTTGCAATGCTGAGTAAATAAATTCCTAATGATTCTATTTATTACCAACCTTGAAAGGGCCGTTTCGACTGGTGGTTTATCTGAGCTAATGGAGACAACTGACATAGCCAACCCATCTCCAAAACCAGTTTTTTCCCATAGTTGAAAATTGAAAAATCTGAACTGCAGGCATAGCAGAGCTAGTCGGCACATGGAACTGTGTTAGCTCAGATAAACCCCAGTGGGAACAGCTCTTAAGAGGAAACTCGTTGGAAATAATTCCATATTTTGTGTTAGATCGTTGTGCGATTCTGCATCCAAAAGATCTTACATGTATCAATCCATTTCTAGAAAGGAAGAACTGCCAAAACGACTTGCATTAAAGTAAAAGCGTATCAACTCTAATTACTGAAGCACTCGAAATTAAAACCTTACGTTCTAATACAATAGTGAGGCCAACTAAAGAGGTCATAAATAAGTTATGTGAGTTATCCAACAGTAGTGATAATGACAAAGCAGAGGAGCACACTTTATTTGGGAATGATTATTTTAAGTGTATTCTAACAGGGAAAATGCATTGTTCAATAGAATGTTTAGTATTGTATGGCAATCTGATGTATAGAATTCTGACATGGGAAGGATCTTTCGAAGATTACAATAGAAATAAGAATCTAGCTGAATGTTCCAAACAACATTTATTTGAAGTATTGCATGGAATTGTTACTGCCAACTACTTACCTGCTATACCAAACAAGTTAATTGGTTTCTGTAATCAAGTCATTCTCTCGTCTTCTTCACCCTGATTGTCAGCTTTTTAAATTCAAGGAAAATACCTATTCAAGTTTATATTAAGCACTTTGCTCTTTTGGTAATGAACTAAGTTTCGGCTAGACTGGAGATTACAGTCCAGTCGCCAAGTGAAGCGAAATCGCGTCAACTCTGGTAACGTCTTGGGGCTTAAATACAAATCAATGCTTTCCGATCATTTATTGCTTATTTACCACTTACTACATTTTCTTAAATTTTGTTATAAAACGCTTTACTCCATTTTGCTACTGTCTTAAAAGTGGGATATGATATTATGAAAACTTTTAATATTATTGATCCTATAAAAAATAGTTATTAACCATTTGTTTGCTGCTTTTTACAAGAGTAAGAAGAATTGGATTTTTGTCAATTTTCTTTGACTTTTTAAGTGAAAATGTGTACATGGATAAAGCCAAGGGAATGCACAGTGCCATTTTTGTGCAAACCAGAGATTTTTTTATTTTTAGTGAAAATAGGTCAATATGTACATGTACATCGAGTATGTGTAATTCTTAAAAAGGCGCCAAGCAGTGGGTGATTCTGCACTTCCCCCCTTTTTCGTTGGTTTTCTTGAAGTCCTGTTTTAGATATTTTTGCATGTTTACAAGTTGTTTAGATATTTTTGCATATTTACATGATCTATTTTTTACTTGTTTACAGAATTAATTCAAATTTGCAACCATCTAATATGGCGATATGATAAGTTAGCAATTTTCTAAAACACACGAAAACAACCAATTTGGCGACTTGGCAATTTTTTGAAAACGCGCCAAACTGGATCGTAATGTCCAGTTTTACCCTAAGTTTTACACTATGCCAAAGCTCTCATCATTACCAAATTAAAATTCAACATAAGCAAAATAATGTTTTTTAACAACAAAAATTAAACTAAATTTAAAATTTCATTTACTGAATATTTATTAAAAAATACATAAACAACACTAATTACATAATGAAAAACTTGAAATTTATATTTGTTTTATCTGAAAAAAAGAATTTGTATTTTTTATCTGAAGGTTGGTACCTACAAGAAATTTCTGTCGACTACATTTTTAATTTATTGAAAAGTTATGTATAGTTTCAAACATCGCTACTGAAACAAGATATACCTAATAAAAAGCATGAACAGGATTTATTAGTCGAATGTTAGTTTTGCACTGTCTATAGAGCAATAAGAACTGCATATATGATGCAACCAACTAGTCATTGCCTCAAGAAAAGTATATACCAGAAGAACTAACTCTATAGAAAAAACTGGAAACATCAGAATACCGAAGCAATGCAATCAGCCGGCCAATTAAATATACTGATTGTACCAACATTGGAAGCTCTTCCATCTTATCTCATTTACATAATCTGCTAAACAAGCATACAATGATAAAGCCCCAACATTTCCATTCTATCTTTTTTTCATTCAACAGCAATTGAGCACATAAACACAGTCCATAACTCTACATCTCTTAAAACTAAAACTAAAAGCACCGAATTATATATTTACTACAAATATATAATTCGCAAGCTGTGTGTAACTGCTTTAGGGCAGCATAAGGCCAGCCAGTTTGGGTTAGGTTATTTGAATGAAGCAAATCCACAAGTGCTACCTGACTAAGATGTGGGATGATATTGTGAAAAACTTTCTAAAGGAAACTGGCTTATATTTATATTACAGATCTGAAAAACCATAAAAACCAAAAATGCAGCCAGGCCTTTTGCCAGGTTAAAGCCCAAAGAAGGTCGAACTATCAGTATTCAGCAGTCTTGACTACTCGGCCACCGATGGTATAAGTTACTAATAAGTGTGAAACCATGACCAGCACAGAATTACGTTTGTCATATGATAACTAAGTTGGACATTAAAATATTAAAAAAAATTATACACATTTCTTTAAGAAACACTTTACCCACTGCTTGGCGCATTTTTAAGAATTGCACAAACTCAAAATCCATGTACACATCGACCTATTTTCACTTAAAAAAAACATCAAAGAATTGCACAAATTCGCCATTTGCTCACGCCCTTCACTTTGTCCCTGCACACATCGATGTATTTTCACTTAAAACGGTCAAAAATCCAATTCTTCTTACTCTTGTAAAAAGCGCCAAATAAGTGTGCAATTCTGCACTTCGCCCACACTTTATAAGTAACAAATTTCAAACAAGAATTTACAGAATTAAATGTTGCAAATCATATTTTTTTAAACAATTTTGCATGAAATATACTAATTTTTTAAACATAAAAATAACTCACTTTTTTCTAAATATATCCTTGGCGGATCATCGCAAAATTGTCTAATTTTTCCAGTAGACAACTAAGAGTAAAAACAAACATATACATATGACTGTTCTTATTATATATCATTGACTTTGTACAAATATAAACATAAATAATGAAATGATTATCTCAGGAAATGAAAAAGTAATTTAAAATTATAAATAAAAACCGGAATATCGTATGTAAATATAATTTCACTGCAGTAAAAGCGTGCTTACACTATATCTGTTCTTTAAAAGACTGCGCGTTAAAGAAAAACTGTTTATAATTGGTTGCCGAAACATATTTGATTAGATTTGAACAGCAAATGTAAAATATTAATTATTCGAAACGAAATACCCAACAGGGGACTCTCTTTTGAATTTCCGCGATTTTGGCATTTGAAAGAAAACAGCGAAATTCGGAATCTTACAGCTGCAGCCATAGAAATAACGAAAATACTTGATTACTAATTAAAGAAAGAAAAATTATATTATTTCTGTATTTTTCTCACTAAAATCGATTAATAAATTAAAAGTTATTTCTAACAATTTAAATTTAATCTGTTTTTATCTAATTTTTTTAAAATTTATATTTAAAATTAATTTTATTTCCGTTTTTAATGATGCAAATATTTTGGAATAAGAAAAATTTTATAATTTTGTTTCAAGTTATTATTTTTAATACTTTGAGATTACTATTCTTCGCTGCCTTTGTTCCCCTGGATATTTATCGCAGTTAAGTTAACCTGAGATATATCAGCTAACTTTGCATTTCATGATGAAAGTTAAATTAAAGGAATATAATTTATTTATCCATTGTTTAACTTTTAGCTCTGTAGTAACTTTATTGATTACCTTTCGGTGAAAGGTATTTTCTAAAGTAGTTTAATTTTTTCAAATGTTTTAATACTTTATGTGCATATTTATCTAAAGAAGTATTTTATTCTTTAAATACTTAAGACGTTTTTCATGTAATTTGAGAATAAAATATCTTTTGCAGTATTACAGAAATTACGTTTCTCTTCTTAAAATTCACATTATAATGGTATATATGTATGAAAAAACAGTTTTCTAGGATTATTTTAATGTCTTACCTCATTCTGATTCTTTTATCTTCCTCCTGTTTTAAAGCATGGAAAGTTTGTTTTTTAAATTTATGAGTTAAAAAAATAACCTGAAATTTTAAGCAGACTATATTATTCACAAAATAATGCATACATTTTTGTTTATAAAATTGTATTTTTCTTATGTAAGGAGGTTCTAATTAGACATTAGAATTTTCTGTCCTAAAATTATGTTTTTAATCTTGCTCAGATTAGTTTTAAGAATGTGTATATATTTGACAGAATGTTATGAACTTATTAATGAAAAAATATAAATGCTTATTAAGAAACAGATTAAGGATTTCATTTACTGTTTAAGAAATTTTAATACTATTTACTGAATGAGATAAACCAGCCTTATTTTGGTACTATTGAGGACTGTAAAAAATTGCAGTGAAAATATATGTGCAAAAGCGCCAAATCTAGCAAACGTGCCCATTTAACAGCGCACCAAATCTAGCGTAAGCGTTGATTTCAGATTGCATAAGTTTATATAGTTCTATATTTCTTAAGACGCCATTGAAATACTAGTTTAATTTAATCCTTTTTTAATATCCTATGGATTTAACAATTTGGGAATTGCCCATGATGACGTCGGCATAGAATTTTGGGTAAAGTGAATCACCCACTGTTTTGACGTTTTTTTAAGAATTGCTTGTATCCAGTGCACATCACCTATTTCACTTAAAAAAAAAACCCAGAATTGCAAAAATGCACTGCGCACACCCTTGGCTTTAGTAGGTACAAATCGACCTATTTTCACTTAAAAGTAAAAGAAAATTGACAAAAATCCAGTTGTTTTTTACCGATGTAAAAGCGGCAAAAAATAAGTGAGTGATTCTGCACTTTAACCGAATATTTTCAAAGAAAAGGCAGCACTCATTATAGAAAATTAGTTTGAACAAATCAACGAGATGAATTATGCTTTAGCATAAGTCGGTAGTGAATAGTGAGGCAGGCATCCATTCAGTTATGTTTAGCTTTTTATATAAATTATAATGATCTGAATAGTTATTTACTCTTATGCTTCCATTCTTATGTTAGCCTTTTTTATATAAATTATAATATAAAAAAGTATATAAGAAATTAACTTTCATCTAAATTAAAACATCATCTTAATATTATTTCCTATTATACTTCCTCTTGCATTAGGGTTTCCGTAATATTTTGGCCTTGGCATCAACAATAGTTTGGCGATTTTTTACTGCCTTCGAAACCGAATAGTGCCTTATTTTATTTCTTTCTAGAGATTTTCGTAATCTGAATATGGTAAAGTAGTTGGCACATTTTGGTAGGGATAAAGGCTACTAGTTGGACTTTAGCAAGTAAAGACCATTCAAATCCAGATTGTTTGTCTCAAGAAAGAGAGATCAGAACAGAAGTGACATTTCGATCATAAAAGGCTATAATAAGACTTTTTTTAATATAAATTTATCTGCTTAATGTAAATTATTTTTTCCTTAATCTTAAAACTTTTGTTTTCCAAATCAATTCAAATATTTAATTTTATTTAAATAAATGTTATTTATATATTTGTGTTGACATTTTATATGGTGATTATTATAATAAGGGGTGGAGGGCTAGTGAGATTTCCATCCTGAGCCTCATTAACTAGGTCTGCTACTGCAGATAGGATTTTGCATGTTTGGCATATTTCTTGCTTTGACAAACCTAATGATTTTAGAAAATTACATTTTATGTTTGTACAGCTCTTCCGTCCTTAGAACGGTCAATTTACTAAGCATTAAAACCTATCTCAAACATTTTGTGCATGTGTATTTTTATATGTTATGTAAGCTAATAGGAAATATTTAATAATGGAAATTTCCCTCATTCATAGTCAGTTTAGAATCCACAAAAAGACAATAGGAGTGTTATAAATAATGTACATAAAGAAAAATGCGTAATATATTCTAAAAAATTGAGAAGGAAAATTGCAGATATGTGAATGTTGAAATAAATATCGATAAACAAAACAACAGTAAACTCAAATTTATGCTTATTTTAAAATCGAATGATAGAGTTAAAAAAATATATATATCTCTGAAGAGTAAGATTACTTATACTACATTAAAAGGCACCATTAGCTTTATTTATGACTTTTCACTCATTAAAAAAAATTAGAATTTTATTATCGGGTAAAAAAGCTAATGGGATAAATGAAGCTAACAGAATTATATATATGTTGTCCTCTATTGAAGACATATGTGTTATTTCGTTCCATTGACTAATCTTAATTTTCATGTGTGTAATCTTATATATGAATTTTAAATTAAGAGTGTATCTGTGTCCCTTTTTTTTTCCAGGGCAGGGAAGCATCTTTTATAAAATTATAAGTATGCAATATTTTACTATTGAACAGGAAATGAGAGCTGTATGAAAAACTACCACAAAAGGAAAATTAAATTTTTTGACAGGATGAAATATAAAATACTTATCAACAATTAA